AGGTCAGTTCAGCTTGCAAGCCTGAGATATTTCTATTAGCTTCCAAACTTTAGTGTTGAACTCTTTTAAAAATATTGCCTTTGTGAAAAAAATGGTAGTAAAATGGGACGTATAATCTATAGAGGAGCAGATCCAGCTTTTTCTTAAATCATGCTGACATGCATACGAAATAACTGCTCAGCTGAAGTAGAAATTAATCTTCCTACCAGTTATTTTGTTACAAGTAAACCTTGCTTTTTAATCACTGTCTTCTTGCACCGTGGCTGCTACTAGCAGCAACTTGTTAGCCTCCTGCAGGCTTCTTCAAGCAATGTCTTACTGTTTAAAACCATAACCTGGTGGGCTGGCTCTCTCTGAATGTAGGGTTTTCTCTTGGGCTGCAGCTCGGAGAACAAACTTCTTGCTAAACCATTACTCCTATGATTTATTTTTTTTTAAAGTGGGTCTAGAATTACGCCTCCCAAGCCTGTCATCCTCACTATTTATACCTTCCCAGCCAACTCCTCGTCGGCCATTCTCCTCCCGTTCACATGCCAGTAGGATTTAAAGCCCTGGGATGAATTCGGATCTTGTTTGCGACAGATGTGAATCTAGAGGTATGGGTTATGTCAGCATGAGATCAGAACTGGTCCCTGGTATGGCATATCTACTAACATGAGACATGAAAATCATCAACATAACAACACAGGACTGGAAGGGACCTCCCGGGTCATCCAGTCCAGTCCCCTGCTACTGCAGGAAACCCCATCCTATAATCCCATTTAGCAACTTCCATCTTAAAGCCAGTTAGGTTTCTTGCCCCAACTCCTCCTATTGGGAGGCCATTCCAGAACCTCATTCCTCTGCTGGTTAGAAGTCTTCTTCTAATTTCCAGCCTGAATGTACTCATGGCGAGTTGACAGCCCTTTGTTCTTATGCCAATGTTGACCTTTAGCGCTTCTCCCTCCCTGATGTTTACCCCACTGAGCATGAGGGCTGAAACTCAGCCACACTGCAGACAGCCCACATGCAAGGATCTCTACAAAACTTATGTAGTGGGATTGTGGTGGAGACTGTGTGTGTGACTGCACACCCTGTGTGCTATGGAAGGGGTCTCCACGCTGGCCCCAAATAGGCTGCTGAGAAGGGAGATTTATGGACAGGCCAAGAAAGGGGCCATAAGACATTGACTATCCAGATCCCGCGACCCTAATTCCCCTGTAGGAGAAGCAGCACTTACTACCAGCACATGGACTGAAATCATGGTCCGGAGTGGCAGTGCAACTCAGGAATGTGCCTGCAAATGGTGGGGATGGATATCAACCTTAAGCCAACCCTACCCGGTCCCCAGTTGTCCCCATTCAGGCTCAATTAGGCAACCCTTAGTCACAATGGTGAGCACTTACTCACATGAGAAGCCCCAGTGACTTTACTGTGACTGCTTGAGAGAGTCAGCACCTGCCAATGTAAATGCTGCACTAGTCTCTGCACCAAGCCCAGCTCCTCAGGGGTTGCGAGAGGGGGCAGAATGTCACACAAGACAGTGGGGGTGGCTTCAATCAGGGGATGAGAGGAGTTCATGCCATTTTAAATGTACAAAAATAAAAGCACTGAAAGGTTGGTGACACACAAGGCAGACAGAGAAAGGCACCTGCTGTGAAAATGCTGGTGGGTCTGCAGCTTTGTGAAGTCTCAAGCAAGAAATGGTACAATACCCAGAGGAATTCTCTCTAGCAGTAGGGAGCTCCTGACAGCCTGGCTTATATGGCATGTTTCAAAGCACGAAGAGACATTCAGTTATGTAAATCCGGTTGATCTGTAAACGTGGAATTAAGTACTGCCAGCATTTACTTACTTTCCTGGCATTTATTATTATTTTTTTTAATATATCTTCTTGGCCTAGGGGTGAAAACGCTGTGTAGCAGAAAGGCACTGCACTGTTTTTTTGCCAATCTGTACACTCAAAAGCACATGTGCGTAGTGCAGCCTCCAGAAAGGTCTATTCGTCAATAACATTTGCTGCTACTGAAGTCAACAAGGCGAGATTTCAGTGTCACAATCCCCACCCCTTAATCTTTTTGCTGCTGTAAAAAGCATGCCTCAAGGAAAGCAAAGACATTCAGGCGTTGAGCCTCTTCTTCAATTCACACCACAATGTGGAGAGAGTACTCAGAACTGAGCAATGCTGAAAGATCCAGGATTCAGAGCACCACAAAAAATAATAATGCAAATAAAGACAAAAGCACCTTTTGTTGTAGCACTGCCAAAGTGCTTCAAAAACATCAAGTAAGCCTCACAAAACCTCTCTGAGATAGATGGTATTAACCCCATTTTATAGCTGGGCAAACTGAGATACAGGAAGGCAAAATGATGCCCCCCAAGATCAGAAAAGCCAATGCCTTAGATAGAAGTCGAACCCAAAGGTTCTAACTATTTTCCCCCAGTTCTGACAACCCTCCCAAGCTATATACTAGTTTTCAAAATTTCATAAGGACAGTACCAGCTCCTCCTATCATTTGGATTAAGAGGATAGCGCATTATTCTTTGAATGATAAGGCATCACTTATATTTGAGCTGTGCCAAACTATACAATCTAGAAAAAGTGTTTGCTCTTTGTATGTTAATGGAACAGCTATATACCAGAGAGAAAGCAAGCAACCATAAACATTTTTGTAGGTAGTTGCTAGAGAACCTAAAGCAACAGAATAATAACCATTATATCTGCACTTGTGGTTAACAAATAAGAACATAAGAACAGCCATTCGGAGTCAGACCAATGGTCTATCTAGCCCAGTATCCTGTCTTCCGACAGTGGCCAGTGCCAGGTGCCCCAGAGGGAATTAACAAAATAGGTAATAATCAAGTGATCCATCCCCTGTCACCCATTCCCCAACTTCTGGCAAACAGAGGCTAGGGACACAATTCCTGCCCATCCTGGCTAACAGCCACTGATGGACCTGTCCTCCATGAATTTATCTAGTTCTTTTTTGAACCCTTAGTCTTCACAACATCCTCTGGCAAAGAGTTCCACAGGCTGACTGTGCACTGTGTGAAGAAATACTTCTCTTTGTTTGCTTTAAATCTGCTGTCTATTAATTTCATTTGGTGACCCCTAGTTCTTGTGTTATGAAAAGGAGTAAATAACACTTTATTTTTTATTTTCTCCACACCAGTCATGATTTTATAGACCTCAATCCCCCCTTACTCGTCTCTTTTTTAAGCTGAAAAGTCCCAAACTTATTAATCTTTCCTCATATAGAAGCTGTTTCATACCCCTAATCATTTTAGTTGCCCTTTTCTGAACCTTTTCCAATTTCAATATATCTTTTTTGAGATGAGGTGATACAGTTATGATATTGCTTGTCAAACTAACCACAACCCCTCCCTCTGTGCATGGCAATATCTCATCGCTACACAGGTGGCTGGCAGCATTATACTATGTTTAATATTAAGCTAATACAGATGGCAATAGAAATATTCATTATTAATATAAAGGGTCTGATTCTCCAGTTTTACATTGCAGTAACTATCTACAGAAGGTCTGACTAGCTGACCATAATGGTCCCTTCTGGCCTTAAAACTCTATTAATCTACAAATCATTTAGTGAATTAGGCCCAAAAATCAGTGGGTGGGATTTAGGCAGTGACTGAACTTCAAAGGGATTTGGGCACCTAACTCCTTTAGGCTCCTTTGCAAATCCTAGCCAATCTGAAAACAACCACTTTTCCCCTTCCATTTACTCCAAACTGAGTAAAGCCAGGGGCTGGTGACATTTGTCTATCTTTGGCATAGACAAGTGCCAGGCCATTTTCCCCACACCTCTCTACCAAGGCCCTTCTGTCCTACTATTCCAGTCATGGTGTCTCCTGAGCAGCAGCTGCAAAAGCAGAGACCAACCTCATTTTCATTGTCACACATGCGACAAGCCAATATATGAGCTACTGAAAGACTGCACCCCTCTTAATGCAGACACTGATATTAACAGACACCAGTGCAGGGCCGCGTCTGTATGCTGAAAATTAAAAAGTCCAGGTGATAAAAAAAAGGGTGAGTTGAAAGCCATAAACTAAATCAAAGTGCAAAGTGCTAACATATGGGAGAGTCACAGTTATGAGTGGTGCTGAGACCCTCCTGCTTCAGTGTATGCCACAAGCATTCTAGAGGTGATGCTCCTGAGGTTTAGGGGAAGTTTAAGGGCCAGATCCGCTCAAAATCAATGACATTCTATTAAAATCAATGGAACTATACTGATCCCGATTGTGTTCGTCTTTAGTCCCCTATTATCCTCAGAGCAGAACTTGACCATGAGGAAACAGAACTGGGGGATTAAAGAAGAAATAAAGGAGGCCAAGGCAACGGGATAGGGGAAATGTTGCTCCTCAGAATCAGTGGGTTCTGATTTCCCCCGCTTATTATGTACAGATTGGGAAATGGATGGTAGGAGAGAGAGCTCATGTTCTGAAGCTCTGGGAAAAGAAAAACAAGAACAACAACATTCTGTAGACTGGGCAAGGCTTCCATCAGCACACACAAAGCAAAGGGTCACAGCAATTAAGGCTAATTCCTACCATATTATAAACGGTGATGCAAATGACACATCTGCCCCAATTCTCCTCTCAGTTATATCAGTGTAAATCAGCATCAATCCACTGAAGTCAGTTGAGAGGCTGAAATCAATTTGAGTCACTCTGGAGTACATGAGTTGTAAACTCATCAGCAGAGGCACCTAAAAAGTCCAGCTTGAACTCATTCACCGGTGTGTGCGTGCGCAAAGTGAGTGTGACTTTCATGGTGACTTGGGGGTATAGCAGAAATATCCCTTGCTTTCTCCTGCTAGTTGTTTTTCCTGATCCAACTCCAAGTGCATAAATCATACGCTTTTTGCGAACTCACTCAGTATCAAACTAGTTACCCTATGGGCCAATTTACACCCCACCTGTCATTTACATCACCATAGGATTTGGCCCAGAGATTTCATAAGGTTGCACTCACTTTCCATAGTCTGGGGTGAGCCCTCCACACATATCCCTACCAGACAGCTATTCAGTATGGAGGCAGGCTAGGGAGAATAAACTTTCATATTTTACATACAGAATCCCAATCTGCAATATTTAAATCATCTAATATTTTTGCCTGGAGTTTCTCCATTTCAAAGCCGTTTCATTTGTGTGCCAGTAAAGAGCACCGTTGGTCTTGCAGAGCACTTTTAATTCTGATCAATCTGGTGTTCATTTAACCAATCCCAATTTCAGAGGACTGAGGTTAGAGCAAGCTGAAGTGGAGACATTTCAGATGTTTCATGGATTGTTCTTGAATCAGCCATAAAAGCAACTGTCTGTTCCGTTTTTTTAAATTAATTTACACACTGATAAATGAATCATCCCCACCATCATAACAAATCTTCTCTGAGCCCTTTTCGCTTTGAGCATAAACACTTGATGTGACTTGGTACTCTGCTGTGTCCTCCTTATTTCAGAATTTTAAATAATCATAAATAAGAAAACCTGCTACTCTTTGGTACATTGTATCTGCTTAGCACAAAGCTCTGACTCTTAAGTCTTACAAAAAATAATTGCACTTCTTTCTTCCATAGAGTCCTGTTAGTCCCAAGACTTTCAGCTGAAGGATTCTTTATTGTATTCGAACCTTGTCCCATAGGAGTTGCTGCTGTTGCTCAATTTGTGGAGTACCTTGGAGATTTCATTTGGTCCACAACAGAAAACGCCAACAGTTTTCCTATCAAGAATGAAAAGTGAGTCACCACATGCCAGATAAATTGTGAATCGTGTCTAAAAGGCACACAGAGCTGGATTCTAATCTCACATGCCACAGAATTACACTAGTATCATATATTTTAAGGACAGAAAGGACCATTAGTTCATTTAATCTGACCTCTTGTATATCAGTGGCCATAGAATTTCACCCATTTATCCCTGTATTGAGTGCAATAACTTGTGTTTGATCAAAGCACATTTTCCAGAAAGGAATCCCGTCTTGATTTGAAGACATCAAAAGATCAAGAATCCACCACTCCCATTGCTCAATCACCATCACTATTACAAATTTGTGTCACTGCAATGACTTCATTAGTATAACTTCTCATTTATACCACCGTGAGATCACAATCAAGTCTATGATGATTCAATACGCTAATTAAAAGGAAGTACTACCAGATCATGCATTATTTCTAGCAGAAGCAGAATGCCTCTATGGCTACAATGTTCTTGATTGAAACATTCAGATTGAAATTCTGCCCTCCTGCTATGCATGTCAAAGTCTTGTGAGGACCCAAAAACAGGATATGGCCCTTAATCTGTGACCAAAATCATGAGCCTAGATTCACTGATATACTTTGGTGACAAAAGGCTGTTATAAATTAGCTTACTGGCTTGTCTTCAATTAATGCCAGTTAAACTGGGTTTATGGCAACTTTGCATCACTAGGACAGCACAGTCAGAATGTACTGCTGAATATGCTCCAGATTCTGATCCCAAACTGAAGACTACACTGCAATGCACATGCACAAAGGGACAGAGTAAAGGAGGCACATGCAACCTTATTTGTGACATTTCCTCACTTCTGAGTGCTCACCCATGGAACCTTCATGTTCTTTTAATGTAGGGTTTTGTGTGCTTTTCTTGTAATTTAAGTCAGTGGTATTTGATCTGTGGTTACTCATTACTGCTGAAAATCCAGTCCTATGTGATTTAGTTCCTAGGCACAGTTCAGAGGAAAAAAGAGGGAATATGAGTATAACTAAAATGGGACTATGAACCCAGCATGTCCAAAATCATGCAAGTTATTAAGGCACTTAAATACGGATGTGGGTGCCCAATATTAGACACTTAAGTTAGAAAATGTTCATTTTCTACCAAATGTGACTTTTCACTTTTTAGACTAGTATTCTATAAAGGTAAATTAACTAGGCCTTCTTATTACAAACATTATTATTATTATAAAATTACTATTATAAAATTGTAAGGAACAGGTTAAAGAATATTTAGATAAGTCAGCAGGGCCTGGTGAAATTCATCATAGGGAATTTAAGGAACTAGCTGAAGCAATCTCGGAACTGTTAGCAATGATCTTTGAGAACTCGTGGAAGACGGGTGAAGTCCAAGAAGACTGAGGAAGGGAAAACATAGTACACATCTTTAAAAAGGGGAACAGAGGATGTGGGGAATTATACACCAGTCAGCCTAGATTTGATACTTGAAAAGATACTGCAACAAATTAATAAACTATCAACTTGTAAGCACCTGGAGGATAATAGGGTTATAAGAAATATCCAGCATGGATCTGTCAAGAACAAATCATGCCAAACCAACCCAATTTCCTTCTTTGACAGGGCTACTGGCCGGGTGAATAAGAGGAAGCAGTAACTGTGGTATATCTTGATTTTAATAAGGCTTTTGACACAGAGACAGTCCCACATGAGCAATTTAAGCAAATTAGAGCAATGTAGTCTAGATGAAATTACTATAAAGTGGGTGCACCACTGGTTGAAAAACCTACTCAAAGAAGAAGTATCAGTGATTTGCTGTCTAACTGGGAGGGCATATCTAGTGGGGTCCTGCAGAGGAGGTCAGTCCTGAGTCCAGTACTATTTAATATTTTCATTAATGTCTGGGACAATAGAGAACAGAGTATGCTTATAAAATTTGCAGATTGCACCTAGCTGGGAGGGTAGCAAGCACTTTGGAGGACAGGAATAGAATTCCAAAGGACCTTGACAAATTGGAGAATTTGTCTGAATTCAACAATGCAAAGTACTTCACGTAGCAAGGAAAAATCAATGCACAAATGGAAAACAATAGGCTAGGTGGTAGTACTGTTGAAAGGGATCTGGGGGTTATAGCCAGGGCTTTGGAGCGGAGCCCGGAGCTGGAGCGCGAACCAGTAGGTTTTATGTCCAGAGCTGGAGCGGAGCAATTCAAAAATTTGATTGCTCCAAATCCCTGGTTATAGCAGCTCAGAAATTGAATATAAGTCAACAACTTGATGCAGCTGCAAAAAAAGGTTAATATAATTCTGGAGTGTATTAATAGGAGTGTTATATGCAAGACACAGGAGGTAACTGTCCCACTCTACTCAGCACTGGCGAAGCCTCAGTTGTAGTTCTGCATCCAATTGTGAGCACCACTCTTTAGGAAATATGTAGACAAAGTGGAGAGAGTCCAGAGGAGAGCACCAAAAATGATAAAAGGGTTAGAAAACCTGACGTATGAGGAAAAGTTAAAAGAACTCGGCATGTTTAGTCTTGAGAAAAGAAGACTGAGGGGGGACCTGATAACAGTCTTCAAATATGTTAAGGGCTCTTCTAAAGAGGAGGGTAGTAAATTGTTCTCCATGTCCACTGAAGGTAGAACAAGAAGTAATGGGCTTAATCTGCAGCATGGGAGATTTAGGTTAGCCATTAGGGAAAACTTTCCAACTATAAGGGTAGTTAAATAGGTTTCCAAGGGAGGTTGTGGCATCCCCATCATGGGAGGTTTTTAAGAACAAGTTTGACAAACACCTGTCAGGGGTGGTCTAGGTTTACTTGGTCCTGTCTCAGTGCAGGGGGCTGGACTAGATGACTTTTCAGGGTCCCTTCCAGCCTTACATTTGTATGATTCTTGATTATTTAAAATGACAAAGAAAAAACTGAAATGAGCATTTACCAAATTTTAAGAAGCACATGCAGAGATGTGGATTCTTATTATACATTTGTTACTGAAGATCTAGAATGTACAGTTACACTCATTACCATTTATCCACAATACTAGTGCACACCATAGCAGCTCCAAGGAACCATTCGGACAGATGATGTGAATATTAACAGTAATCCGTGTTCTATGTTAGGAATTCATTATTCAAAAGGCACACAATTGTTAATGTAGTTGGATCAAATCCAGATCCCAGAGTCCTTACTCAATTCTTATGCAGAGTAAACTCCCACTGCAGTCAATGGCAGTTTTGTTCTAGGAGTCTCAGTTTCAGCATCCAAAAACTGAGGCACCCAAAATCAGTGGCCACTTTTGATAATTAAGGCATATGTATATAGCAGGGAATGACAGTGGCAGCTTGCTGGTATATATAATCTATTTTAGTGTGCAGTTAAGTTCACATCACAGTTAACTGCATCATCCCCTAAACGGTACTGAAGGAAGTCTGCGCTGCTAGACAGAAAAAAAAAGTATAGGCTAAGGATATTGACAAACTTATGGAAATATGTGCCTTTGAAAGAAGAAAATGAATCACAGAAAAAAGTCTTTGGCCCACAATTTCAAATTTAGGTATCTAAAGTTAGCCAGTTAAATCCATAATTAGGCAACCTGAATAACAGATGGCCACTGACTTTATGCAATGAAGGGAAGCGAACACTAGCATTGCAAAAGGCAGGAAATGTCACCAAAAAAGTTGCATGTGCAACCAAAACGATGGCCTTGTGCAGGTGCATCATAATACCATTTTTAATTATATGATCCCACACGATTTACAATTTTTCCATACACATTCAGCACCCCCCATCCCTGCACTGTTGTGTATTTACATTGAATTCCATTGTCATCATGGTCCAGTGTTGCATTACTGACAAGGGGAGAAAAATAAGTGGCCTGATTTTCACATGCATTGAGCTAATTATTGACTGTTTTCAACGGGGTCTGTTGGTGCCGAACACTTTTGAAAACCAGATAGTATGTGCTTTTGTGGAGGAGGAGAAGGGCAAGTAAGCCTTGAATCTGAATTTTTATCTTATTGTGTATTTAATTCAAAGCCTTAATGTTATTAAACATTTGTATCCATTAGTTTAATCAAGTACAGCGAGTTGTTGAGTAAAACTAATATACACCTCTACCCCGATATAACGCGACCCGATATAACACAAATTCAGATATAAAGCGGTAAAGCAGTGCTTCGGGGGGTGGGGGGCGGCTGTGCGCTCCGGTGGATCAAAGCAAGTTCAATATAACACGGTTTCACCTATAATGCGGTAAGACTTTTTGGCTCCCGAGGACAGCATTATATTGGGGTAGAGGTGTAGTATCTCTCACTCTAGGTACTTACATAACCGTAATCACCACAGTATCTCAGCCTCTCACAATCACTAACAGATTTTTATCCTGACAGCACTTCCATGCGTAGGGAACATTTTACAACAGGAAACTGAGTCAAAGAAAGGTTAAGTGACGTGCCCAAGGTCACATCGGAAGTCTGTAGCTGAGCCAGAAATTGAATCCAGGGCTCTTAAGTCCCAGTCAAGTCAATGCCCTATCCTCCAGACCACCCTTAACAGTAATACTTAGCACTGCTATAGCACTTTATATTTTCAAAGTGTTGTGCAAATACTAATTCATCAATCCATACAACACCCCTGTGAGGCAAGTAGGCAGGTAAGCATTATTATTCCCATTTTACACGTGGAGTAATTGAGGGAGAGGTGAGGTGACTGGCAATATAATAAGAGCCAGAGCTAGGATTTGGGATTTTCTGATTCCAAACCATGCGTTACATTCCTTAGAGATGATTGTCTTTTATAGCATGGAGAAAATGTGCCTTATCTTTACATACCTTCTTTCCCCACATGTTTTAATTTCTTCTGTTTAGCTCATTCTTAGCTCTATGGAAGAAGCATATTGCCCTTTGGACCAAGCAACATTTAAAAGCTATGATAATATCTCAGAAGTATATAGCACATTTTTATCCTGAAGATAAATGAACCACAAAAAAGGGCACCACCCTTTCCCCAAATAGATTGCACGAAAATCCTGAAAACTGGCTGCATAACGTACACACCGAATTGTCCCAGTGCAAATACTGTAGATGTGGTATAAACTATCAACAGTAGATGGTGCACTTTTGCTCCTCTTAGTTGAACTGAAAGAATATGAACTTGATGCTGGATTGAATTAATCTGTTAACTATGCAGAGAAATATTAAATTCTAGCAGACCTCAGACACTTAGACATGAGCTTTCCCTGTCTGGGAGTCAAGCAACCAAAACCAATGGTATGGCTGAACTGATGAGAGCATCCCTAGTTGCGTGTTTATGTTGGGCTTTTAGTAACCATAGCCATAGCCACAGAATGATAGGAGGGGAAGGGAGCTCAATAGGTCATCTAGTCCAGTTCCCTGCACTTAGACAGGACTAAGTGTTATCTCTAGACCATCCCTGACTGGTGTTTGTCTAACCTGTTCTTTTTTAGTAGAAATGTAAAATAAAAAACTGGGAAATACTTTGGATGTCACAAAATAAAGACTGCAAACAACCATGTGTGTGTCTGCAAATACGTCCGGAATCCTGAATGCCAACGCTAGACTTATTTGGCTAAAAGAAGAACTGTTTGTCTTGCCCTTATTTAGTGGTATGCATATTGCACCAGGGCCATTCGGAGGGAGTTACTGAAAAATGGGAAGAAGAAGTAGGAGAAGAAGCAAAAAAAGGTCAGGAAGCTGAACAATTGAATTATGGTGAAAGGTTAAAGTTCCGATCTTGCACCTGGTAAGTTCTAAGTTAATGGGACTCTGTAGAGGAGCGGACTCACCCCTGTGGCGCCTCCTGCTGGTGACTTCTGGGAATTAGCTCAATCCAGCCTCCAGAGCGCCCTCTGCAGGCCGGTGATCCGCCTGTCCTCTGACCCCCGTGTCCCTCACGGACCCTGGTGCCCTTTTATCTGGGGTGCTGCCTCCTGGCAGTACACCCCTCAGTACTAGGGTCTCCCCTCCCTGGGGAACCCCCACCCACTATCCCTACCTCACCTCAGAATAAGGCCACTGCCAGTCTCCCACTAGCCCCTGTTCCCTGGGGCAGACTGCAGTATAGGCCATTCATCACAGGCAAGGTTGGGTTTGGACCTGCTGCCTTGGCCTAGCCCTGGGCTGCCCTCTGCAACCCCCAGTACCCCTTGGCCTCCTACTAGGCCACAGCCTGGGGCTATCCAGGCTGGAGCTCCCCAGCTCCTCAGCCTTTCCCCAGCCCTGATCCACTACAGGTACCCTATGTCTAGCTCATGCAGCCAGGCCCTTCTCCCTCTGAAAGCAGAGAGAGGGACTGCTGAGCTCCTGGCTCCCAGCCTTTTTATACAGGCCAGCTGTGGCCTGATTGGGGCATGGCCCAGCTGCGGCTGCTTCCCCAATCAGCCTTGTAGCTTTTCCTTTGCCCCAGCCCTGCTCCCTGGCTGTTTTAAGCCTTTCAGGGCAGGAGCGGGGGACCACCCCGCTACAGACTCCTCACGTGCACCGCACACCTAACTCAAGTGTCTGCAGGATGGTGACCTTACAGAGCTTGTCTATAGACCTTAGCAAGGGGGTGATATGGGCTGAGGAAGGACATAAGAGTCTACAAATAATGTAAAAGGTGTACACAGTCAAGGATGCAGAAGCATTACTGAGGTAGTACAAGACATGTTGCTTAGAAATCAAGGTGATGGGCATCTTAGAGATACAAAGATGTATGGGAAAGTGGTACTTGAGGATCTAACCAGGGGTGATGAGATGAAATGTAGAAAGGAAAAATGAAAAACGTCTTGAAAGTGATGTGCATTCGGGTGTGCAAGAGTCTCCCAAGAGAAATGATGGAGGCTCCCATTATTTTGGTCTTTTAAAAATAGAATGGACAAAAGATTAAGAAAGAAATAAGAATGACACTTAAAGGGTTAACATTCCCCAAACTATGCAGGAGGCTGTGATTACAGGACCAACCTAGCAGCAGATCCACCCCTCACACCCTCTGCCCTCTTCTTTGCCATGCCCTATCTCTCCCCACCATAAAGAGCAGGACTGCCCAGAGCTAAGCCCCTGCAGAGCTGTTCTCCATGTTGCACAGGAAGTACACACCTCTACCTAGGTCCCAGTTCCTGCCTTTCCTCCTGCACATCACTGAGTGGTAGTATTCATATATATTGGTTTGCATTACAGTAACTCCCTAACAGGGAGCATGGCTCCATTGTGCTAGGCACTTTGCTACTTTGGGGGAATAGCAAGATTAGTACCACAGTGTATAGATCAGATCTTAGGTCCTGACCCGGAGAGATATCACTCACACTGAGATCAATAAGATTTGCTGGGGCCCAATCCTTCTCAGGATCTAATCCTCAGTAACCACAGCATCAACGAGGCTGGTTTAACAACTGGGTTAAATTAAATCCAGAAGAGGTGACTCAATAATTTGGTGTGTGTCTCATTTATTCTACATCTGCCTTGTCTAGACTGTAAGCTCTGCCTGGTACAGTACTGATTACAGAGTCAGCTCTTAACAGACAATAAATAGCACTGGTACCCCCCAAAGAAAATGTATCTTCTGAACAAAGACATAACACAGTAGAATACGGCTGGTGTTTTACTGTTGCATTTCTTTTAGTCAAACTGTAAATTGTAAAAGTAACTGCAGAAAGCACCAATTATATCTTTCAATATAAAACTGGCATACGTTGCAAGCAAGATACTGATTATAGCAAAGGATTAAAACATGTACAATCTCTGTGTAGTAACACAGAAATATGATTTTTATTGCCTGGGCCACTGAACGGTTTAGTTGCAGGAAAAGATGAACTGCTCTGATAGCTCAAACTGAAAGATTTTTTTTTTTTTTTTTTTTACAGTCCATCTTTCAGCTGCAACACATTCGATAATATTAACATCAGTAGCTTGAATGTCACATGATAAGATAAACCCCGAAGTCATTTCCATACAAATATAGCTGTTTATTAAACACACACAATCCCCATCCCTCAAGCTGTGGCAAAACCCATCAAGATTGGTACTTACTGTCTGTTACACTTGGCTATTTCATCAAAAAGGAGTTTCCAACGAGGTCGTCCAATCAAAAGCCTCGAGTTCAGGACCTGATATTTTTCACCAATTATTTTCTGTGAGAAACAATAAATTCAGTTGCTGTGTGTTTTGTACATTGTTACACATCACTCAGAGCTTGCATACTGGTCTGGTAGATGCCCTGGCTGACTTACCAAATAGCTGAAATGTAAAAAACTGAACTAAGTATCAAACCAAGTGACTTAAACTGCAGCCATTTCTAGGCATCAATACCTCGGCTCCTTGCCTTTTGAATAGCCATCTTCAGGGTTGTGTGCGGTTTCTTATATAGTTGCTTATTAGTCTCCACATTATTTTTAAACCAATTTGTCAATTAATACATAGAGCAATAGTTATATTCTCATTACTCACTCCCTAGTTTGCCTTCACTGCTACTCTTAAAGGGACACTGTCCATATAGGAAAATTACATTTCTGTCTGAAGTATTTTTACCTACTATTGGTACAAGTAACACCTAAGCTAACTGGGGCTGAAAAAATGACAATGGAAACCTCTAGAGCAGGGGTCGGCAACCTTTCAGAGGTGGTGTGCCGAGTCTTCATTTATTCACTCTAATTTAAGGTTTCGCGTGCCAGTAATACATTTTAACGTTTTTAGAAGGTCTCTTTCTATAAGTCTATAATATATAACTAAACTATTGTTGTATATAAAGTAAATAAGGTTTTTAAAATGTTTAAGAAGCTTCATTTAAAATTAAATTAAAATGCAGAGCCCCCCGGACCAGTGGCCAGGACCCGGGCAGTGTGAGTGCCACTGAAAATCAGCTCGCGTGCCGCCTTCGGCACGCGTGCGCATAGGTTGCCTACCCCTGCTCTAGAGGATGGTTTACCGGTTGCTTTGAACAGTCTCAGCAGCATCAAGCACCAAAGCTGGGTCCTTGGAGTGAGCACAGGATTCTTCTAGCAATTCTAACTCACTAAAATCCCAGCTGACCTCTCTTTATGAAGCCAAACCTGTTTTCACTGCATTGCATTCCCGTTCCTTGTTTTACTGTCCTAATATAATGTAACATGTGGCTAGAGAAGAATTATATCTGATCTGATTTTCTGCGTTCACCCCATAATCGAATGATCTAAACCGTCTATTATACTAATACAAAAGTACATTCTAAGCTTGAACCATTTTACATTGTTTTTTTTTACCATTGCTGAAAGCATTTTCTGGGGAAAAAAATGGGCTTGATTCTCTGGTGTCCTGCATCTCGGGTCACTCAGTGCAGAGTGAGTAAAACGTGACACTATTCTGGTTTGGTAGTGTTTTACACTCACTTTGGATTGGTGTCAACGACAGCACAAGTGCAGGGCAATGGAGACTTGCATCCAGTGCTTCCTTGAACTATCTGGAGTAACTGTTCAAATCTGGATTTATGCCAGTGTAACTGAAGACAAAATTTAGCCCTCATTGTATACAGTTCTATACTTGATGCCACCTTTTCTACCAAACGGCCATAAAAAAGAAAAGGAGTTCTAATGCAAAGTCAGTAGCTACTGGACACAATTTAAGAGTAAATATTCTAAACTGCATTTCATTGACATTCAGCTTCGTCTTGGATGTTTTGACTTGAACCGAGTCATTTCTTGCCTGTTAATTAATAATATATTGGATTATCTCCATGCCGGCAGAGATATCCCATCCAGTTATTTGGAACTAGCATTGAATATTTGGAAGATTGTTCAGAATTGTTGCTGGCAGATTATTTAGCTGGAGCCCAGCAGCAAGCCCTGTGTATTGGGGTAGTTCTCATCAGAACTATAAATTGTATCTTATCTTCATCTGCTAGAAAGGAGATCGAAACCCAACAGACCTGATTCTTGACTGCCTTTCACCTTGTGTAGTAATTTAAGGCTTGATCCGATGCCAATCAAAGTTAATGGCAAAGCTCATATTAATTTCGAGTGTGAAGAATCGGGCCCTTACATCCGTGCTACATCAGTGCAAAATGGATGTAAAATGCTAACATCCAGGTCACCGCATCCCATGTATAAATGGCTACACAAAGTTCCAGCCAGTGGGGAATAAATCCAACTCTCTAAACTGGCATACCGTGAACAGTTCAGTACATTTTCTGGCTGCATACTTTAAAAAGTTTGACTTCTTCAAACATTCGAGACAAAAACAACACAAAAAGAAACCAATTGGGATTTTTAAAAATAGCCAGTTTCTCACAATGTGTTTGCTTTCAAAAGTTTGGGGCTAGAATTATTCCAGCCTGATCCTCAGCCGAGGAATGATGCAAGTTTCCCACAAAGCTCTGCCAACTGTCTAGTCTGTGGCTTGGCCTGAAGGACCTCTTTCCTAGTGGAGGGAGATATGGATCTCTTCCCATTGATAATCAACTGAATGCTACCAGACTTCATTCTTCTAGTATTGTGGGGCTGGACTTGTGATGCAATCTTACTGAGAGAGTTAGCCCTTATTGTCTGCTTAAACCATCTGCAATCATTCCATTTCATGCTTAATTGGCAGTTTGTGTTGTCTACCACCAACAGATCTAGTTAGGTTTATAAACAGCATTTAGCCACATACCTGTATCCCATCTGTTTGACTGAGGTACAGCTGGATGTTTATGTAGTCTGGGCGGTTTTCCTGCCAAAGCTGGGAGGATCAGAAAAACATCAAGTGAATTAATAAGTCTCCTCTTAGAGAAGAATGCAGTTGCTCTTGTCCAGTACCCTGATTAAGCTTGATCTTCACAGAAGATGCAGTGGACACGTTAATGAAAATGACACATTTACATATCTTTCTTTTACCCAGAAGCTTCTTTACATCCCAGGATAGTGAACAAATTCTTCTAAAAAGATTTTAAAATAGTTTGAAAATCCACCTGATCTCTGTTTTGAGAATTGAAGATGACTTCCAACTTCCATAAACACTCACCCACCCCCTTCCTTCAGTCTGCTCACTAGATGAGCTGGGGTTTCACTTTTCTTCAAAGGAAAGGATGCACCCAGACTCTCTAGATGCATTTTTTTCCCTTCTAGCAAGCTTCTTGACCATGCAAGGAGACTGTGTGTCCCTGAAGAAGGGTCACATAACCCCGATTGCAGGGCCTGTCCCAATATCCTTGCTTGTTTGGGGGGGGGGGGAAGTGTGAGTAAAATCCTGATTCCACTGAAGGAAATGGCAAAACTTCCATTGACTTCAGGGGAGGCAGGATTTCACCCCTGTTTTGTTCCACATGACTCTTTGAACCAGTCTTTCCATGTACATCAACAACAAATTTCATTTGGCAGCAAAATGGCAGACCACATAACTTGGTTTGGTCCCTCTGAAGTCCCAGCCTTCTCTAGTCATGTTTAATGGAAACACTTTGGTTACTAATCTAAATATTCAAACAGATGTGTTTATTGTCAGTATCCCTTTAAAACCAACCCTGTGTAATCGTCCCCTTTACCTTGTTATGCAGCATACACAGCAAATCTGCAAACCAGCGAAAGGACTGGATTTCCCTGCACACCCAAATAAAGTAAAGTCTTCTGAGCTTGTAGCATTGCCAGTCATCACTTTAAAATGAAAATGATATGTTTGGGGAATTAATTAACGCTAATTAATATGCTCTATATTCATTGGTCAAATGTTAATTTCCATTTCCATTAAGTGAAGTTAGTTTTCCCCCATCACACTGAAATGCCCAAATCAGTCTAAGGGTACGTCTACACTTACTTCCTGGTTCGGCGGCAGGCAATCGATCTTCTGGGATCGATTTGTCACGTCTTGTCTAGACGCGATAAATCGATCTCGGATCGATCCCGGACGTGCTCGCCGTCAACGCCGGTACTCCAGCTCGGCGAGAGGAGTACGCGTCATCGACGGGGGAGCCTGCCTGCCGCGTCTGGACCTGCGGTAAGTTCGGACTAAGGTACTTCGAATTCAGCTATGTTATTAACGTAGCTGAATTTGCGTACCTTAGTCCGAAGTGGGGGGTTAGTGTGGACCAGGCCTAAAAGGATGTACTTAAATACTGAACCCATAACACAGAACAACACGCTTTACGGATACTGTCTTTACAGCCGAACAGTATATACTGCACTCTGACTGCATATATGACTTACGGTAAGAATGTTGATTCATACATCATAACCAAGATGAAAGTTGTTATCGAAAAGCAAAGCTGCCTGTGCACTTCAAATACATAGTGTGGATTCTTTATTGCAATTATAAGGCAGAGTTCATTCCACAAACTCAGTTCGTCCCAGAGGAGGTGATGCTGATGAATGCAAACCTCACAAAATGCAACTCCAAAGCAAAGTTAGGGCCAAATTCTGCATTCAGGTGCATGCAAGCATCAGATGATTTCAATTATTCCTTTATATGCACAGAGGCCTAAACAAGGTCAGAGCCCCATTGTGCTAGACAAAGGTATACTCCCCAAAGAGCTTCAATGGATAAAGCATGTTCATGGACAAAGTTTGGCATTTGGTTTAGAAAACATGACACTTGTGCCAGGTTTCCTAATGGAGATGGAGACAAAACATGAATTCAGTAAAAGAGGGATGATCACCATGAACCAGGCTAGAACATAAACATGAAAAATATCTACTGTTCAATAGATTTTTAAAAAAAGTCTGCATGATTTTTTCTCAGATCAGCCATGGCTGACTTTATGTTATTGTTACTTACCTATAATTTAGCCATTTAGGGGACAAAATCCTTCCCCTTAAAACTATTTACAGATCATAAAGACTCATTGGAGACCATCACAGCTGCATTTTGGACTTCCAAAATTCAGCAGTATATGTGTGTATTAGGCCAAATGCCATGTCCAGGGGGCAAGGTGTGGGATAATGGCATAGCTGCTCCACATCTCCTACTGCACAACATGAGTTACAGTAGCTGCTATGGTCCCATATACCAGCATTAGGGCTACCAACTTTATAATTGCTAACAACTGGACCGCCCTGCCTTGCCTCTTCCCCTAAGACCCCCACCCCAGCCCCTCCTTTTCCTTCAGGCCCTGCCCTGGCTCCCCCCTTTTGCCCCCCCCCCTGCTGCTCTCCTCCCTCTCCTTTCCTCACAGCTGGATCCTCTCCAGCTCCCCCTTCCCGCCCAAGCTGGGCTCCCTCTGCTCTAGAGCTGCAGCCTGATGCAGAGCCTGCCTGTCTGCCCATGAGATGCAGGTAGGAGGCAGTCCTGGCTGAGCAGGGACTTGCACAGTCTGATGAACTCGTGCCTCCTCGCCCTGCCCATGGTAACCAGACTTTTGGTGTCCAGTCTGTATATCTTACCAGACACTGCCAGGTCCCCTTTTCAACTGGACTTTCTGGTCGAAAACCGGGCACCCACCAACCCTAACTACTGGGCCATTTTGCTAACGCATCTGTGTAACTGATGGATATGCCACCGTCCCTTTCCATATGCCTAAACCCTCCACTGCAGGCCTGCAGAGGCGCTGTGGAGCAAATACCCCATAGCACACAGGGTGTGGGGGCTCTGACCCCTTGTGTGAACTCTCCATAACCTGCAGAAAGGTGCTGGTTGCACTGGGCTTCACGCCTTGTGTGTCTGTAGTGGGAGTGCAGCATCCTTAATGTCCTGACACCAGCTGCTGCACGTACAATGCTGTCCTGCAGACAAATGTTATTTCTCCCTATTTTGTATGTCGTTTTTGCTGGGAGAAACCAGAACCAAGGTAATGGTCTGACCATATGGGGTGAGATCACAAATACAATATCATATGTGCAGTACGTAAGTAATAAACTCTAGCCATTTACTCCAGCGCATCATTCTGAAATGATTAGAGAAAATTAATGTCTCTCAGCATAAATGAACTGAAAGATATACAAGAGGATTTACTGGGGACCACCTTTTATCATTTCAGACTTTTGACTTGAGCAAACACACGCCAGTGGGAATGAGCTAGGTTGAATCAACGCGAGGTTGATCTGTACTGTTTTGTGGCATGCATCATGCATGCATGTGAAGTGAATGGCAAGTCAAACATACACCTCTACCCCGATATAACGCGGTCCTCGGGAGACAAAAAATCTCACCGTGTTATAGGTGAGACCATGTTATATTGAACTTGCTTGTTCCTTGTTCCCTGACTGCCCCTCTAGAGACCCCTGTCCCTGATCACCCCCAGGACTCCACCCCCTACCCAACCCCCCTGCTCCCGGTCTCCTGACTGCTCCAATCCCTATCCACATCCTCGCCCCCTGACAGGCAGTCACCGGCAGCGGCGGTAAGCGGAGCAACCAGGGCCGGCTCTATGTTTTTTGCCGCCCCAAGCACTGCAGTCAGACGGCCTTTGGCGGCATGTCTGCGGGCGGTCCGCTGGTCACCGGGATTCGGCGGCATTTCTTCGGGTGATCTGCCAGTCCCACGCCTTTGGTGTACCCGCCGCCAAAGCCGCAGGACCGGCGGACCTCCCGCAGGCATGCCGCCGAAGGCTGCCTGACTGCCTCCCTCACGGTGACCGGCACGCCACCCCCCGCAGCTTGCCGCCCCAGGCACGCACTTGCTGCGCTGGTGCCCGGAGCCGCCCCTGGGAGCAACGTGGCCCCAGCCTGCTCCACTCCGCCACCTCCCAGCCGCGGCCGTCCGCTTCCCACCGCCGGTGAGTGTGGGGAGGTAGGGGAAAGGACGCCCTCCGCACTCACCGGCAGCGGGAACGGGAAGCGGAGGGATGCGGCCCCAGCCCGCTCCGCTTTCCTTGCCCCAGCCCCAGCCGTGTTGCTGGGGAGAGAGGGGGTGTTGGGGAAAGGTCCCGCACTCAACTGCGGCAGGTAGCGGAGCGCTGCGGCTGGGAGTTGGAGAGTGGAGCGGGGTGGGGCTGGGCTTCTCCGCTTCCGCCGCTGCCAGTGAGTGCAGGGGGGACTGCGGGGCCCCCAAAATTGCCCTCCCACAGCTTGTGCCTCCTAGACCCGGGGGGGGAGCCCCTGAACATCCCGGAGACCCTCTGCCCCTTATCCAACCCCTCGGCCCCGGCCAGGCCCGGCACCCTTAACATGCTGCTCAGAACAGTGTGTCAGAGCTTTACCGCGTTGTATGCAAACCCATGTTATATCGGGTCACGTTATATCGGGGTAGAGGTGTACATGGTTGGGTCTACCTACAGTAAGCTATGACGTGATAAACGTGCAGTATCATTACACAGCTAAAGATGTGTGTACGACATGCCATGTCCACTGATACGCATGTTACTGAATATTACTACTTGTAATTAATCACTCATTTATAGACACCTGACCCATGCCAAAAACTTCAGACTCTCTTTAAAAAAAACAATCATGATTTATAATAAATAGGCAACATTTATTAGATACCCGAGTGGAGCTTACCCAGGCTGGGAGACCCCAGCTGCTCAGAAAATATCAAAACCAAAACCAAACAGAAAACAAAAGGCTGCATCCTAGTCCTGAAGGATACCCCGATATCCTCCACAGCTGCATGTCCTTAGCAAAAAGGGCTTTGCCTGCCTACCCCCTCAAGTTTGCACACAACAGTTATCATTTTCACCCCGCTGATCTCAACTTCTATGAAGGGACAAAAAACAACAGGCAGCCTATCCAGTGGACAGGTGCTCTGTATTGCTGATATCCTTACATATTAACAGCAAAACATACCTTGCTGTTGCTATTGTATAATACTGCAGTGCATGGAAGCAAGATTGGTTCACTGTAATGCTGGGCTATGGCATGCAGTGTTTGGAAGCATCCCATTTATCTGATATTGAAAATATTCACTGGACACTAAGCTGCTGTGGCAACGTCTGTACAAGCCTTTCACTGCCTCTAGTAATATGCTGATAGAGGCAGCCATCTCATTACCTACTGCTGGCCCATAGTTATGCTGTGACGTTTTTGCTCAATGCTGTCAGGGATAATCCATCCTGGAGAAAATAATCAGGATATCCATCGGGACTCCAGTCTTTTGGCAGCAACGAAAATGCACTTCAGAAAATGGTACTCCCCATTCAAAAGAGCATGACCTCAAGAGGTCATCTAGTCCAGGCCCCAAGATGAACAATTGACTTTCAGAGATGAAAATTAGTAGGGAACCTGTTAGGTTCTCTGAGGGCTGCACAGGGCACCAGGAGCTGCCACATAAAAGCCTGATTTTCAGAAGCGCTGAGCACCCATGACTCCGACTGAGATTGAGGGGAGCTGAGTGAGCTCAGCATCTCTGAAAATTGGGCTTTAAAAGGTTTTAATTTCACTCCAGCTACCAGCTGATCTCTGAACAAGTGCGTCATGTGTGAATTGTAAAACACTTCGTAAGCTAATTTCAACTGTAAGCTCTTTGGGCCAGGGACCGTCTTTGCTCGGTTTGTACAGTGTCTAGCACAGTGGGGTATTGGCCCGTGACTGGAGCTACTAGACAGCAGTGTGATACACGTAATAAAAATAATAATGAAGCTATCTCCCATTGTGTAAGAGTGGGATTGATAGAAGTTTGACCGTCCCGGTGACTCACAGAGAGCCACTGAAAATTTTGTCTTACTGGATTTTAAAATGTTTTAAATTAACAATAATAATAATTTTAAAATAGGCAATGAAGGTTAGGATTTTCAAAGGGGCTTAAGAGAGTTAGGTGCCCAAGTCCCATTTAAGTTCAATGGGAGTTGCATGCCTGACTCCTTTGAGTTTCTGTAAAACTCCTAGCTTAAGTGTTCTTGAAAATGATAGGCAAGGAGCTGTGACTGAAGCCAAATATACATCACACTGATACTGCTCAACCTTCCCCACGTGAGGAAAATGCACCTCAGTCCTGACTCTCAGCACCCCTGTTATCTCTGTCCCTGACCTTGCTCTAACACAGACTGGGGAGTTTTCTAATTAAAAGGTTGGGATTGTAAACAAATATCCCCATGGACTTGGCAGAGCTCAAACTCACTTTTCACTGGCAGTTGAATGGGAAGCTCTGTCTATAAGACCTTTAGGGACCACTGTCCAACCCAAAGTACTTTTTCAGCATTGCACCTTTAGCATTCATTGGGCATGAACAGCCAGCGTGAACGGATTTGGGATTTTCAATGGCAAACCTCAGTCCTCCTCCCTGTTCCTCTCTCCATAGGAGGGCAGTGTTACATGAATAGGTGTTACGCACATGCTGGAAGCATTTACAATATGCAACACGGAAGTAACTCTGGGAAAATGGCTTTAAAGAGGTTAGGCTCACATACAGCAGCGTGTTGAGTATTGATGCGAATGGAGTTACTCCAATGCCTCCAGCCACACAGAGGCTAACCTCATAATTCAAGGATTCTTCAGAGGGACTCCCAAAAGGACCATCTATGTATAGCCTGCAGAAAAAGCAGAAATACTTTTCAACAAACACATTAAAATAGAATACCATAAAAAGGGTGCAACGAATGTAAAGCCTCTACAGAAACAGTTTAAGTTAAATATTTCTGGGATTCAGAAGATGTAAGTTTTCCCTGGGAAAGCGTACGTGGTGGAGGCTGTAGAGAGGAACCTAGGTCAAGACCGCAAAAAAACCCCTAGGTATACCGAATCTCTAGAGACTCTGCATGATTACATGTGATGGCACATTTCTCAATGATGTGGACAGAGAGGGCCAAACTATGGCTGCCCTACAGTGGAGACAGTAACAACATGGCTGGTTGTGCTGGGGAAGGCAAGAAGCACTGCCTTGCATTGCCCATTAGGCTAGCAGTCCCAGAGAAGGCCTGCTTCCTGAACATCAGGCATGGCTGAGATGGCTCAACTGCCTACTCTACATTTTCATAAGTGTAGCAAGATCTACTCCCCTGCAACCTTCCCCTGGTGTCCATTATACTTCACATGGGCATAATGACTCCAGGGAACATAGGGGTGATATTGCACATTCTGATCATGCCCAGGAAGAGACATACATTAGCACAAATGATACAGTAAAAGACTATAAAAGGATGACCGAATGACCAAGAATGGCAACAGGGTGTGACACCTCTAGCATTTCAATTAAAAAAAAAATTAAAAAGGGAATTTCAATAGGAAGTCTGCACTTAGGCACTTTTGAAAATGTTACCCTATGTGATTGGGAGCCTAAGTCCCATTTTCAAAAGTCACTGAAGCACTGAGAAGCTAAGTCTCATTGAAAGTCAATGGAATTTAGGCTCCTAAGCCACGAAATCACTTCTGAAATGGGATTTAGGCATTTTTTAAAACGTTACCTCTAATTCTCTGTGGCAACTTTGAAAATCCCAGCCCCAGTCATTAGAAGAATTATAGACAACTCTATAAAATGTGTTGAACAATTTCACATAAATCAAGGTTATCTTTTTATTAATATTTAAGGATTGGATGCAGTTTTTGACTCATATTACAGAAACCAAACTAACCAGAAGTAGTAAGTATCAGAATAGGTGGACTTACACAAAAAAGAGCTAGGTCTTTGGTTCTTCCTTGCATTACACTTAGTGTAGCTATTTACACTTGTGCAAAGTAAGCATAAAACAGCACCATTTTGATGGGCTCAGGTGTAAAGGTAGGGGAGATTTGAGCCCTTATAGAATAGAATAATAGAATCATAGAATATTAGGGTTGGAAGAGACCTCAGGAGGTCATCTAGTCCAACCCCCTGCTCAAAGCAGGACCAACACCCATTAAATCATCTCAGCCAGGGCTTTGTGAAGCCGGGCCTTAAAAACCTCTAAGGATGGAGAGTCCACCACCTCCCTAGGTAACGCATTCCAGTGCTTCACCACCCTCCTAGTGAAATAATGTTTCCTGATATCCAACTTAGACCTTCCCCACTGCAACTGGAGACCATTGCTTCTTGTTCTGTCATCCGCCACCACTGAGAACAGCCTAGCTCCATCCTCTTTGGAACCCCCCTTCAGGTAGTTGAAGGCTGCTATCAAATCTCCCCTCACTCTTTTCTTCTGTAGACTAAATAACCCCAGTTCCCTCAGCCTCTCCTCGTAAGTCATGTGACCAATCCCCCTAATCATTTTTGTTGCCCTCCACTGGACTCTCTCCAATTTGTCCACATCCCTTCTGTAGTGGGGGGACCAAAACTGGATGCAATACTCTAGGTGTGGCCTCACCAGTGCCGAATAGAGGGTAATAATCACTTCCCTCGATCTGCTGGCAATGCTCCTACTAATACAGCCCAATATGCCGTTGGCCTTCTTGGCAACAAGGGCACACTGCTGACTCATATCCAGCTTCTCGTCCACTGTAATTCCCAGGTCCTTTTCTGCAGAACTGCTGCTTAGCCAGTCGGTCCCCAGCCTGTAGCGCTGCATGGGGTTCTTCCTTCCTAAGTGCAGGACTCTGCACTTGTCCTTGTTGAACCTCATCAGATTTCTTTTGGCCCAATCCTCCAATTTGTCTAGGTCACTCTGGACCATATCCCTACCCTCCAGCATATCTACCTCTTCCCCCAGCTTAATGTCACCTGCAAACTTGCTGAGGGTGCAATGAATCCCATCATCCAGATCATTAATAAAGATGTTGAACAAAACCAGTCCCAGGACTGACCCCTGGGGCACTCCGCTTGATACCGGCTGCCAACTAGACATCGAGCCATTGATCACTAGCCGCTGTGCCCGACAATCTAGCCAGCTTTCTATCCACCTTATAGTCCATTCATCCATTCCATACTTTTTTAACTTGCTGGCAAGAATACTGTGGGAGATCGTATCAAAAGTTTTGCTATAGTCAAGATATATCACATCCACCACTTTCCCCATATCCACAGTGCCAGTTATCTCATCATAGAAGGCAATCAGGTTGGTCAGGTATGATTTGCCCTTGTTGAATCCATGTTGACTGTTCCAGATCACCTGCCTCTCCTCCAAGTGCTTCAAAATGGATTCCTTGAGGACCTGCTCCACGATTTTGCCAGGGACTGAAGTGAGGCTGACCGGTCTGTAGTTCCCCGGGTTCTCTTTCTTCCCTTTTTAAAATATGGGCAGTATATTTCCCTTTTTCCAATCGTCCGGGACCTCCCCTCGAGGTCGCCACGAATTTTCAAAAATTATCGCCAATGGCTCTGCAATCAGATCAGCCAACTCCCTCAGCACCCTTGGATGCATGAGATCTGGACCCATGGATTTGTGCAAGTCCAGCTTTTCTAAATAGTCCTTAACCTGTTCTTTCACCACTGAGGGCTGCTCACCTCCTCCCCATACTCTGTTGCCCAGTACAGCAGTCTGGGAGCTGACCTTGTCTGTGAAGATCAAGGCAAAAAAAGTATTGAGTACTTCAGCTTTTTCCACATCATCTGTCACTATGTTGCCTCACCCATTCAGTAAAGGTCCCACACTTTCCCTGACCTTCTTGTTGCTAACATACCTGTAGAAACCCTTCTTGTTACCCTTCACATCCCTTGCTAGCTGCAACTCCAATTGTGCCTTGGCCTTCCTGATGACACCCCTGCATGCTCCAGCAATATTTTTATACTCCTCCCTAGTCATCTGTCCAAATTTCCACTTCTTGTAAGCTTCCTTTTTGAGTTTAAGCTCACCAAAGATTTCACTGTTAAGCCAAGCTGGTCACCTGCCATATTTACTATTCTTTCTGCACATTGGGATGGTTTGTTCCTGCGCCCTCAATAAGGCTTCTTTAAAATACAGCCAGCTGTCCTGGACTCCTTGCCCCCTCATATTAGCCTCCCAGGGGATACTGCCCATCAGTTTCCTAAGGGAGTTTAAGTCTGCTTTTCTGAAGTCCAGGGTCCATATTTTGCTACTCTCCTTTCTTCCTTTTGTCAGGATCCTGAACTCAACCATCTCATGGTCACTGTTGCCTAGGATGCCACCCACTTCTACTTCCCTTACCAATTCTTCCCTGTTTGTAAGCAGCAGGTCAAGAAGAGCACGGCCCCTAGTCAGTTCCTCCAGCACTTGTACCAGGAAGTGTCCCCAACACTCTCCAATAACTTCCTGGATTGTCTGTGCATTGCTGTATTGCTCTCCCAGCAGATGGCAGGGTGATTGAAGTCCCCTATTAGAACCAGGGCCTGTGATCTGGAAACTTCTGTTACTTGTCCGAAGAAAGCCTCATCTACCTCATCCTTCTGATCCAGTGGTCTATAGTAGATGTCCACCACCACATCATCCTTGTTCCTCTCGCCTCTGAACTTAACCCAAAGACTCTCAACAGGCTTTTCTCCAGTTTCAAACTGGAGCTCTGAGCAATCACCCCGCTCTCTTACATACAATGCAACTCCTCCATCTTTCCTCCCGTACCTGTCCTTCCTGAACAGTTTATACCCATCCATGACAATGCTCCAGTCATGTGAACTGCCCACCAAGTTTCCGTTATTCCAGTCACATCATAGTTCCTTGACTGTGCCAGGACTTCCAATTCTTCCTGCTTGTTTCCCAGGCTTCTTGTGTTCATGTACATACACCTAAGATAACTTGCCAATTGCCCTACTTTCTGAGTATGCATCAGGAGGCTTCCCGTCTTGTACCCTCCTCCTTGCGTTTCCTCCCGGGATCCCACTCCCCCACTTACCTCTGGGCTTAGGTCACCATCCCCCGGTGAACCTACTTAAGAGCCCTCCTCACTAACTTAGCAAGCCTGCCTGCGAAGATACTCTTCCCTCTCTTTGTTAGGTGGATCCCATCTCTTCCTAGCAATATAGTCCCAGAATATCCCATATAGGCAGTGTCTGTGTGTTCGGCTAAATATATTATTCATATGGCAATTATTTAGGAAAACAAGTTACATTATTTGTCCCAGAGCAAACATTCTACCCCAAATTGGCCAGACTTTATACTGAGGTCCCATTTAAAAATAGTTTATAAAGTGTTAGTAGATAATTCCTAGCTATTTTAATAAATGGTTAATCAATTGTTATAGTTATTAAATCCACAAAGTCAACAGGTAGCTTATAACCATGGGTTGTAAACATCTATAACATCTTCTAGTGAAGTGCATATGACCCCTACTATGAATATCTCTGATATGCTTATAGCAGCTATTCATCATTTATTAACCATTTAGAAACCATTTGTGAATGGAACCTTAATATAAAAAGTGACCGTGAAAACAATTATTTTGATTTAATTGATTTTTAGTGCACATGCACTTACATGCAAAATGAAATCAACATAGTAAATGTTTAATTTCATCATTTTCAGTAAAGTTATATAATTTCTCTTCCTAATTCACCATTTATAATGTTTAGTGTTTCACTTACCATCATATGGAGATATAATGAGAGGCATATAATTGCTTTTGCCATTGCACAAAACAAAGGTGCAACAATATCAGAAGTACTGCCAACCTCCCCTCTTTACCTGGTTGAATCTCCTCAAATTAGCAACTGATCCTTCTATAAACT